CTGTCTATCCATGAGAGATTTCTCTCTGGCAGTATTTCAAAAGCAAAATCGCTCTCTTTTATGCATATTTTTGCCACCACAATATTTCTCTAAGCCATGTAAAATACTGTGCTCTCGAGAGACATACAAAGAGGTTTGCACTACAGAGTTTTCTAAAAGGAAAATTGCCCATTTCTGAGCCTAGAATGCAAAAATTCAAACCCATTGGCTAAAATCTAGGATTAGGGCAAAATGGGTGATAGCTTTCTCTAAGAGTTTAAGCTTGATGATAACAAAAGGCACTTCAGTTTGATGATTTCCGAACTACTTAATGGTTAGAAACTAATGGTCCTGTTGAGATTTGGAAGATGATCCTACTATGTGACAGTTGGCGCCCTTCAGCAGAACTGCTCAGGTCGAATGCAGACTGAAGCCGGGATTGGAGACCAGGGTAAGAGGGGGTAAATCCAAGCTATCACTAGACCTGCATGGTATCAGGAAGACAGCAAAAAATCAGAACTAGATTGAAATCCTGTGTCGATCACTGAACTACCACGTGATCCTGGTATAGTCACTCACTTTCTCTAAGCCTCTCTTTACATTACATTTAAAATGAAAGGCAGTACAGCCTGCTGGTTAAGTGGAGGCCTTGGATCTCTGCCCTTTTACTTACCAGCCATGTGCCTTTGGATAGCCTCACTTTCCTCATCTATATAATGGACATAATAATAGCATCAACCCTAAAAGACTGCCTTCATTAGAAAACGCACGCAAAAAATTCTTAGTGTGTGGCGCATAATAATCACTCAATAAATTAGCTGCTACTGCTGTCATTATAGTTATTGATGTTGTTATTGTTATTATTATTCCTTCCCAAACAATCACAAAAATATTAGGTTGAGGAGTCAGCTGTTAGCAATAAAAGACTTCTTGCTGACAACTGAGATTATGGCTTGCTTCAGGTTGACTCAACTTCCAAGAGCCACAGTTCTCTTCTCAGAGGCCAGAAGGGTGCCTGGACTTCAGAGGCACTCACTGAATATTTGTTAAGTGAATGAACAAGGGGATAAGTGAGTGATGAAGAAGGTAAATGAATCAATGTCTTGAGAGCTACTGTTGCACCCTGACTTCAGGTTCTCCAACTGCTCTGACGGGCTAGTGGCAACCAGGGGTTGAGCACTGCAATGTCTTTTTCTCGATTCTGAGATGCATTTTTCCCCCAACAACAAAAATGTCTATAATCAGGATGTGTCTTACATTTGGCTGAGCACCGCAAACAGCATGCAGTAGGGCTCACCCAGGATTTGCTGGCTGGCTGGGGGATGTTATCCTAACTGCTCCTGGGGTGGATGGCCTATGCTTAGAGGATGGTATAATTCTCCAAAACTACTCACATCTAGATTTCAATGACTCGGGCTGCTTGCTTGCTCCAGAAAGAGCCTTAGATAGCAAACTTTTTTTCCCCATACAAACATTTATACATACATTGTTATGTGACTCTAATTGCTCTCCCCATATTGTGACAGCACACTTCTCCTTTCCACCCTGATTCTCCATGTCCATTCAACCTCTCCCAACCCTCTCTGCCTTCCCATCTCAACTCCAGACAGAAGCTGCCTGTTTAGTCTCTTGTATCTACTTGAGCTAAGGGGCACACTCCTCACAAGTCCAATCCCCATCTGAAGAGCTGGCCTCGGAAGCTGTTTTAGTTCTGGGCTGATAGAGAATCCAGGGGCCAAGCTTTCCGGGGTTCCTCCAGTCTCAGTGAGACCATTGAGTCTGGTCTTCTTACTAGAATTTGAGTTCTACACCCCACCTTTCTCCTGCTCCAACCAGGACTCTCTGTTGTGTTCCCTGCCAGGGCAGTCATTGCTTGTAGCTGGGCACCATCTAGTTCTTCTGGTCTCAGGCGGATGAAGTCTCTGGTTTATGTGGCCCTTTCTGTCTCTTGGGCTAACACTTTCCTTGTTGTCTTTGGTATTCTTCATTCTCCTTTATCCAGATGACTGGGACCAATTGATGCATCTCAGATGGTCGCCTGCAAGCTTTTAAGACCCCAGATGCCACTCACCAAAGTAGGATGCAGAACATTTTCTTAATAAGCTTTGTTATGCCAGTTGACCTAGATGTCCCTGAAAGCATGGTCCCCAGACCCTTGCCCCTGCTACTCTGTCCCTGGAAGTGTTTGATTGTATTCAGGCAACTTCTTAGCTTTGGTTTAGTCCAGTTGTGCTGACTTTCCCTATAGTGTGTGCTGTCCTTCCCTTCACCTAAGATAATTCTTATCTACTATATAGTTAGTAAATAACCCTCCCCCTCCCTCCCCACCCTCGTAACCATCAAAGGATGTTTTCTTCCATGTTTAAACCTTTTCTTTAGGTTTGTCCTTCTGTGACTGACTAAATTCACTCAGCATAAAGACCTCCAGCTTCCTCCATGTTATGTTTCACGGCTTCATCACTGTTCTTTATCGTTGAGTAGTATTCCACTGTGTGGATATACCATAGTTTGTTCATCCATTCGTCTGTTGACAGGCACCTAGGTTGTTTCCATCTTTTTTGCTATTGTGAACAGTGCTGCAATGAACATGGCTGTGCATATATCTATTCGTGTGACAGCTCTTATTTGTCTAGGATATATTCCAAGGAGCGGGATAGCTGGATCATATGGTACATCTATTTCCAGCTTTTTAAGGAAGCATGAAATCGATTTCCAAAGTGGTTGTACAATTTTACATTCCCACCAATAGTGTATAAGTGTTCCAGTCTCTCCACAACCTCTCCAGCATTTATTATTTTGTGTTTTTTGGATTAACGCTAGCCTTGCTGGGGTGAGATGATATCTCATTGTAGTTTTGATCTGCATTTCTCTAATGGCTAATGATCGTGAGCATTTCTTCATGTGTCTGTTAACCACCTGAATATCTTCTTTGGCAAAGTGTCTGTTCATATCCTTTGCCCATTTTTTAACTGGGTTATTTGTCTTTTTGTTGTTGAGGTTTAGATAGCAAACTTTTTAATAGTCTGAAAGAAGAGAGTGAGAAATTAACAGAGACACAAGAGGAACTGGATACTGGACAGTATTTTGGAGTCAGATCTACATAGTACAATTTAAGTATTTGGTTTAAGATACTGTCCCTCACCTCTGTTACCAGCTTGGAGAACTGTAAAACCAAACATTCCCAACAGAGCCTAACTCAAAGACAGCTTGTAATTTATCAGATGTCTACAAATTCAGTCCTCTGGTACCACTTTTGTAACTGTCTTATCTTTAGCACCACCTGTACTATCATTAACTTAATCTTCATATTTAAATCAACTCACTTTTAAAAAAAACTAAAGTTATTCCTTAATAAATTTAAACCACTATGTTAAATGAGAAACCAGTGTTGCTCACCATAAATATGAGTTAACTGTAAAAATAAACACTCAGAAGCAAAATATTATAATTGAAATGTAGCTAGCCACCACTGCTTTCCTGAGCTCTAGGTCTGAGGCCTGTTCTCTCTCTCATAGAAAGGGAGGTCAGCATGTGATAGCATAAAAATATGCCAGTGCCTAACTAAGGCTTTCTCCTTCAGGCAACTGGAGAGGCTGAAAGAACATGGAAAAAGGGAATAAGTTTCTCACTTGTGTCAGTCTATATTTGGAACCATGTTCTTGCACCACATAAAACCATCGCAGGGCTGGGAAACAGTAGACCCTTTGCATGCTCTGGGTCTCAGCCTCTCTGCAGTACTGGATAATTAAGAATACTTATTCCTGAATGCAATTAAAGTACACTTTTCCTCAATTGTGAGATATACCTCTTTTTTTTAATTTGCAAAAAATATCTACTGTCAGCACACACTACAGGGGAAGTCAGCACAGCGGGACTAAACTAAAGCTAAGAAGTTTCCTGAATACAATCAAACACTTCCAGGGACAGAGTAGCAGGGGCAAGGGTCTGAGGACCATGCTTTCAGGGACATCTAGGTCAACTGGCATAACAAAGTTTATTAAGAAAATGTTCTGCATCCGACTTTGGTGAGTGGTGTCTGGGGGTCTTAAAAGCTAGCAAGCAGCCATCTAAGATGTATCAATTGGTCCCAACCACCTAGAGTAAAGGAGAATGAAGAATACCAAAGACACAAGGGAAGTATTAGCCCAAGAGACACAAACAGCCACACAGACCAGAGACTTCATCAGCCTGAGACCAGAAGAACTAGATGGTGCCTGGCTACCACCAATGACCACCCTAGCAGGGAACACAACAGAGTCCATGAAAAGTGGGGTGCAGAACTCAAATTCTAGTAAAAAGACCAGACTTAATGGTCTGACTGAGACTGGAGGAACCCCAGAAAGCATGGCCCCCAGACTCTCTGTCAACCCAGAACTAAAACCATTCCCGAGGCCAACTCTTCAGACAAAGATTGGATTGGACTGTGGGACATAAAACGATACTTGTGAAGAGTATGCTTCTTAGCTCAAGTAGATACATGAGACTAAATGGGCAGCTTCTGTCCGGAGGCTAGATGAGAAGGCAGAGAGGGTCAGGAGCTGGTTGAATGGACACGGGAAATCAGGGGTGGAAAGGAGGAGTGTGCTGTCACGCTATGGGGAGAGCAATTAGGGTCACATAACAACGTATGTATAAATTTTTGTATGAGAGACTAACTTGAATTGTAAACTTTCACTTAAACTACAACAATAAAAAAAAATTTGCAAAAGAAAATCTACTGTCAGGATTCATCTTACAATTGGATGTCTTTTATCAGCCACTTTTACTAGTGCTTTGGTAGTGTTTTGTTGGGTTCCCCCACCCCGCCAGGAAACTGTTACTAGATTGATGACACATCGCATAATGAGGGTGACTTAGGGTCAAGGAAATACGGTACACCTTAACAGGGCCGATATAAATGAGCCTCCTGTTTGGATGCCAAGACAGCATAACAGCGTTGCATTCTCCCGGTTGTGTTCATCTGATAAACACATTACAATAGCAAGAAATTATGATCTATAATCCTCAGCTGGAACACTCACACATTCTTGGCCTTGAACGCTTCGGCAAAATGTTGCACGCTACGGAGCAGAGCAAGGTCCAGGGTCATTGCTTCCACCTTGGCTTTATGCTGGAATGAGAGAAAATAAAAAGAAATGATAAATAACAGCAAGTTTAGTTCATGGTATCGAGTTACAGTAAATGTGTTATGGAACATGTCGGAATTCCCCTGTTTAATATTAGACGCCCAGAGAGAATATAAATCATTTGAACGAATGGAAGAACGGAGCTTTTACTGCCAAGTTCAGGCAGGATGTGAGCCTGCGATGCTGCTGAACCTACAGGCTGGGGGCTATGCTGTTTTTACTCAGCACATGGAATGGGCTCCAAAGGGTCTTCAGGCTGACATCTCCTCTCAATCTGCGCCCTGAAAACAAGAGCAATCAGAACAGGACACAAAACCTGGCTCATGCAAGGATTCAGTGGGCAACACTTAAATCTTGAAAGCTCACATCCAGGTATGATTCCACCAAGTCTGTGTCAAAAATTAAAGACAATTTATTTCTAGAAAGTACAAAAACAGGCAAAATCTATGCCAATGGACCTTGACTGACACAGTCCCCAAAGAGAACCTTGGCTTAGTAATCCATAAGACTCTACAGACAGGTGGGGCATGCACAGATAATAATAATGATGCTAATAATGGAGCCCCGGTGGCACAGTGGTTAAGAGCTCAGCTGCTAACCAAATGGCCAGCAGTTCAAATCCACCAGCTGCTCCTTGGAAACCCTATGGGGCAGTTCTACTCTGTCCTACAGGGTCACTATGAGTTGGAATCAACTCGACAGCAATGGGTTTTTTTTTGTTGTTTTTTTTTTTAGGTATAATGGCTACTGTCTACTCAGAGCCTACCATGGGCTAGCCATTTTATATGCACCAGTTCATTTCATCTTTGCAACAACTGAAAGATGGGTAGTATTTTCCAATTTTACAATGTGGTATCTTCTAAGAGATCATGGAGCTAAGAATGGGATGGACAACAATTGACCCCAAGTCAGTCTCACTCCAAAGCCAAAGTTTCTGCCTGCAGAGAAGCTAGAAGGACAGGAATAGTGAGGATTTGAAGCAATCATGTCCCACCGGACAGCCTCCCAGCACAATTCTGGAAAAAGAGATCTTGGGGATGTCTTTCTGACTTGCCTTGTTTTTATGGAGGTGCTCCCAATTTTTAAGTTTGGCTGGACTTTAGAGTATGAGATTAAATACTATCACTTCTTAGGTCTAGAGCCTCTGAAGGACAAACAGCCAAGAATGCCAGGGCCACCTGCCTATTCAGGTAAGAAGAGCCCCATAAAACAGATGGTTAACGTGGGAATTCACGTCTAGACTGTGATGTTAAAGCAAGACTAAGGAGAATAACATGAAACCTCTAATGCTGTGAAGGAGAGGCAAGCGGTACTGCTGAGAACATCCGAGGTGTCTTATTCAGGGTTAGATGCGAGCTGTGATGAGATGTTTAGTGAGACTGATCTATCTTGGCCTCCTAAATCCTGGGATCCAACCCAAGTTCTAAGCTTTGAACGATAAGTCTCAGGCAGAGGCAGTTGGGAAGCACACTGAACACAAATCAGCTGTGTTACTTTGGGCCATTTAACATTTTTGAGCCTCGATTTCCTCATTCATAAAAGATGAATATTAACCACTCACAGAATTTTAAGGACAAGTGTTAAGCACCTAACACCCTGCCAGGAACAGAGTGAGTATTTTAAAGTACTTAAGTAGCAGAGATAAGATGTCCATTGTGCCAAATTATTTGGCTGTATAGGTATGTTAAGTTTGGAGTCTCTGGGTGACTAATGCTCTCAGCTGCTAACCAAAAGGTTGCAGGCTCGAGTCCACCCAGAGGCTCCTTGGAAGAAAGGTCTGGTGATCTACTTCCAAAAAAATCAGCCATTGAAAACTCTATGGAACACAATTCTACTCTCACACATATGGGGTCGCCATGAGGTGGAACTGACTCAATGGCAACTGGTTATTTTAAGTTAGAAATCTGATGCCACTCAACAATAAACGAGACTTGGTGACCCATAGCGCAGCATGGTGGATGAGAGTTAATGATGTCCACAGGTCGTCCCAGAAGCCCAGATAAGACCAGATCACTGACTGTCCAGATCCTGGAGGATATAGGTTATGTTTTCTAACAGAGCCCAGTTTCAGGGAAAGGAGACAGTGAAATCAAATGACTTCCTCAAGCCCCAACAGTGTCTCAGTGGCAAAGGCAAGTTTTGCCAACATAGATTTATCTTCCTGCTCTTGGAGAACAGTGGCAGATGTTCAAGTGTGCAGATTTTGGAAGGAGGAGAAGTATTAACCTGATCCAAGAAAAGGGACAAATGCCAACAAACGGACTTTGTTAAAGTTTTTTAGGTCTGGGCATATCAGAGCTGGAAGGTCCACAGATAGGCAAGGTCACAGCCCTCATCCTATAAAGAAGAAAATGGAAGCCAAGAGATGTAAAGGCACTTAGGTGAGGTCACACCACGCTGGGCCTCCAGATGAGGAACAACACCCTACACCATTTAAATCCAAATAACTGATATTTATCTGACTGTTAAAATCTCTTCCAAGTGCTAAGTCTGTCAATGGCTAACTTTATCCCCCACAGTGATTCTTATGTCTCATCACTCAACTTCTCCTATTTGACATTTAGCATGAGCAAGTAAAGCAGCCTTTCACCCTCACGTTCCTCCTCTGTCCCCTGCCTCACTGCACTTGGGGGATGCTACTCACTGCCATACAAAGTCTTACAGAAATTTGAATTTATCACAAGAGGAAAGTCAAAGCTTCATTATATTGGGCGGGAGTGGTAAAAAGATTGTTACAAACCCCCTATGGAAACTCTAAGGGATATGCAGGCTACATATTATAAAAATGCATACACATTTCCCCCATAAAACAGGGAGAACATTCCCAGATGGTGACCCCAAAGCAATATCCCAACAAGCATGATGCCACAGCCATGTGGCCAGTACATTCTTCCGTATGTGTAACTGACAATTGCAAAGTTGTCTTTCGGCCCTCCCCCTACACTTTAACACAAAGTACAGCGCTGCCACTATCAATAAGAACAAAATAGGAACATACATATCCAGGGACACCAAGGGGTCACAAGCCATCAAGTAGTTCAACAGACTAATCCACAAGCTGTGGGTTACTAGGCTCCTGGGGACAGTGATTCAAGTGCACACACTATTATTCAGGTACTTCTCCTGTCCTAGGTATCAGGTTTCCTGTTTTTGCTACTGACCCTCAGAAATGAGAGTAACTGCCAACAATATGGGGAGTTCAATGGGAAAAAAAATGTAGCTTTTAGAATTTGAGTGTGTCTATGTGTTTATATGCGTGTATTGGGCGTATGCTCTTCTGATTGTCTAACAATCTTAGCATTCTGGAAATGTTTATCCTGGGATGTACTCTAAATGGGAATGCAGGGGCTGACAGGTTGCAGATGGAGGGATGAACTGCTGATTGTTCTGTGAGGACAACAGGCTTGGTCTGCCAATGTGACCTTTCCTGCGAGTCTGGCAGTGAACCTGGGACTGACCATGGTTCACTTCCTTGATTTAACCTATGACCTTTTTATTTGTTGTTGTTGTTAACTTTTATTTTGAACTAACTACAGACTTACAAGAAGTGGCAAAAACAGTACAGAGAGCTCTTGTGTGTTTATCATGCAGCTTCCTCCAATGGTCACATCTTACATAACTACAGTGCATCATCAAAACCCAGAAACTGACATTACCTAGACTGCAGGCTTTACTCTAATTTCACCAGTTTTTGCATGGACTCATTTTTTTTCTTTTTTGGTATGCCTTTATGTGTATGAAATTTTATCACATGTAGAGATTTGTGTACCACACCACATTCAAGATGCAGAACTGTTCCATCAGCACAAAGGAACCCATGACATTTTTACCAAGAGGCAGCAGATTAGCATTCACTGTCTGGGCCATGAGAGGTTCAGGCCTGGTTTGGCCAGAGTCAGCTCTCAGGATTGGCAAAACAAACATAGTATATAAAGGCCAGTAAGATGTAGTCCAAATTCCTTAGCATGGTTCATAAAACCCTTTGTATCAATCAGGATGTGCTTCAGTAAGGAAGAGGCCTCAAACCCAAACAAAAGTTTATTTTTCACTCATATTTCATGTCCATCCCAGGTCAGTGGAGCCATGGCCATCATGGTTAGCCAGGGACTCAGGCAGATGGAGCCTCCACCCCACCTCCAGCCATCACAACTGGATCTCACTTCACTCAGCAATTGACAGTGTCATTTCCGTCACATTTAACTGACCAGAGCAAGTCACTTGGCTCTGCCTAACTTCAAGAAGGTAGAGAAGTGTAATACCCGCTGTGCCCAGAAAAAGGAGAAGTGGAAATACATAAGAGCTGTAATGACTAACACAGAGCCTGTGACCTGGCCCCTATCTACCTCCCCAGGCTTGTATCAGGCCATTTCCTGATTCATGCCTACATTCATACAGAAAAAAAATCAGAAAAGACAGATGAACATGCAGAACGAAGAAAGCAGCTACAATCCTACCACCCCAAAATAAATGGTTAGCTTTCGATATACCGTTTCCTCCTTTCTCCCTTCCTTCCTTCTTTCCTTCCAACTTACCTACGTATCTAAGCATCCATCTGCCCATCCAGCTCTGTTTAACAGAAAGAACTTCATGATGTGATCTTCCAATCTTGAAATGCTATAAAATACCTCTTTTAACCCTTCCCCAAGTCCTTACTCTTTTCTCTAATCATACTAGCACAAGACCACATTATCTCAGGCAAAATAGGAATGTTAATTAATTTTAAATTATGTGTACAGATGCTAGTATCCATCATTCTAAAACAGGACCACACAGGTTCCATCCCACATATCAGGCAACTTGGAAGTAGCTAGGAACCCCACCTGGTCCCTATAACCAGGGCTCAACCAGAAAAACATAATTAAGCAACCCGCAAACTCTTCTCCCACTTTGCTGGGGCCAGGGGCACTCATTGGTGGCATAGTTCACTGACACCCTCCTCTTAACCAAGTCTTCTTCATCTATTCTTTATTAAGTTCCAAAATCT